GTTTAGCCAAGTTATATTATTCAATACATACGTACATTTACAAATATAAATATATTTCTATACGAAGCCTGGGTTATCATTAAAACTATTGGCACAAATTCTTCAAAATAAGGTATGCGGAGAGGCGCGATATGCATGAATCCATTAACATGATGATTTATTAGTGAGACAAGAAACTGAGACAAGATTACATGTCCTGGAAGCTCACGATGACGACACGTTTGAATTCGACGGGCGGAGTTGCCAATCACCCTGACACACTCTTTTTGCGATATCACATGTTTCTTCTGGGTCATGGCTACTTTGAGTTCATTACATAAAAAATGGAATGAAATCGAACCCAGGGACAGGTCGAGACATGATACGTGACAGGAGAAAATTGCTTTTTTACCGAAGTAGCAGCATAGAAGTATCAAAGAACTGCAATACCTAGTTGACATTTATAGGTTCGAACTCGTGGGTCCTTGGCTCCTATCCTACTGGCGCTGCTATCAGGCACAGGGCTCATCAACTCATAGTAACATGGAGAGGTGTTTTGAGGGTCTTGGCACAATAGGGCTTGCAAAAAAGTGGAACAGGTTCGTGTTGATCCAATTATGAATATTGGTTTGGACACTGGACACTGAAATTATATAAAGTACATATTAGTGTTTGTTGAGATAATTATGGATAACTCTGTCTCAAGTAGCATGTCGGAGGTGCTTTTAAATATTTAACACATTACCATACGTTATAGACCTTGGAGATCTTCATTCACTACGTTTTGGATAGCTATTTGCCTTCATTTTTTGCTCGTTTGCCAAGGAAAAGGTACTGGGTGTGAGTGTAGAGCCGTGGCCATGGCAGTAAAGTGTTAAAAATTGACCTTACTGAGATCTTAGCTTATTTTAAATATATGAACTAAACAGACTTCAAAATAATTTCATACATGTATGCTTAGTTTTAGAATTTAAGGATCCTAAAAAATTTCCAATATGGCGACAAATCTCAGATGGCGGCCAATCATTATTACATATTACAAAGACCTATTTCAAAGAAGTTTATGTTTTTTTAACATGATATTTCTTTGGTTTCAGAAGTTTCGAATGTGACCCCTGCATACGGCAACAACTGTGTCACACCCACAACCAGTTTAATGGCAAAGGAGCAGAAATTGGGAGTTTGGGACCTAAGTCATATCATAGAAGTACTTCTGTGGTCATATATAATAAAATAAAATACAATTAAAACAGCGCTGAAGTGAATAAAAATCTCTGATGGGTTGATTTTACCTAAATAAAATTACCTAATTGAGATTATTTTAGAATATTCTATAATTTCAACCAGAGTGTAGTGTATAAGCACATTGTTTATTTTAATAAACATATTAAAATATATAAATATATTAAAATATATAGTCGCTAATACCCATTGCCAGACATTTCTTTCAGATGTGATACCATTAACAAATACAATAACCCAAAAGTATTCTTCTGAACATACAGAGGGTATATGAAATATGGTTGTCTCAACAATTTACAATTACTATAAAAACGTGTACGGTCACAGTTTGTTTAAAGATAAACGATCAATATAACTTCTATGTCCACGTACCTTGGACAAGTCAACAGAGGTCAAACACCTTGTTATTGCTAAACGATTCCGAAGAACCTCCATCATCCTGTTTTCAATGGCCCTTCTACCAGATAAGGTACATGATGTATCTTCTCGAAAACATTTTAATAATATTGTGCATCCGTCATACCACCATCGGCGGGTAAGGGCTTCTGACAACAGAAGACGACGCTCCTCTTTAGAAAAATTGCTTAATAAATTTTCCTCCGTAAGTGGACATAAGTATCTAGCTGCGAAAACCTGGCAAATCCAATCAAGAAACAGACGAAGGTGAAGGCTGACCAACAGCGAAATCTTGTTGAGAACCGTCATCCTTGGAGATCGTCTCGTACCTTTGGGGTATTGGCGGAATCTGACCTGGTATTAAAATAAAAAAGCCTAATTTAGGAGCTTTTTAATGTAAATGCATTGTAGTGCATAATTTATTGCCATCACATTAATCTGTCCACAGCAACTAAACTCTCGCAATTATGTAAAAAATTTGTAAAAGTTTCTTTTCAATAGAAAATGTTACTGTTGTAATGCAAATGACTTTCACTTTCACAAATTGCAGATAATAATTAAAACGGAATCAAACGAGTAGAAGGACGGGGAGTTATTGAGTGTAAGTTAAATTTCTTTTAGAGTCAACAAGTGTAGAAAATGTTTTCGTGGTGGGAAAAGATGGAACATGTCACAGTCGCATATATTTCGATTTGATTGGTTAATTTCTCAATAGATTTGCAAGTTTCTGACACGTGCAAAACGCGTGCAAACTAAGGATGGATATGGTCCAAGCTTGAGTAATTTAAATAATATTTTAAATATTTGAAATCGAAAACAAACCCCTTAGAAATTGCCTAATGAGGAAATGTAACATGGTGGTTTGCAACATGAAAATGGAAAATTCCTTGTAATCACGCAAAGACAATGGAAAGAAAACAAGTAAATGCATGATCAGTACGGAGAAATAGAGTATAAATACTTGTGAAATTCTATGAAAAGGGCAGTCGGTGAATAAACGCTCGAAAGCTCCAGACCGTCGTGTTTCCTCACTATCACACTACTTTATCAAAAATGGTTCCATTTTTTGGGGCTACCCTGTTTATGGTTAATTGACATTTGCAGTCACGCCGTACACTTACCTGGAGCTTTTGAAATCCCCTTTAAAAAGAAGTATAGCTTGTAGCTATAAACACAGCCAGTTAAATTACAGACTAATTTACCGAAGGTTAAGCACCACCATGTTATGGCGAAAATGTCTACACGTACAGTGCATATACTGGTATGCAGTACTTTATATATAACATGTGGTGGTTGAAGTTTATAGCAGAAGGAGTATTGTCTCCGAAGGCTAGCCTAAATAAAAAAAATAAAATTTTATAATTAGAAAGGTCCAGAGAGGCAGATTGTGATAAGGAAGATATGTGCAATAAAAAAATAGGATTTTGTGACCTTGACCTAGATAAAATAAATCATTTTTAATTTACAATTTTGAATCCTTTCAAATAAAAATTGTCAATAAAATACTGTCAGAATGAAGTCGTTCCATTTTTGCCTGACTGCTAAATCCGGAAAAACTGCTAACAAAAATATACGCAGTTTCATTTATATATGTATAGAAAAACAATAATTTTTAGCAACATGACAACAGAAGATTTTTAATTTTTGGTTACAAGTACAGTCTGCGTATTCTCCAGATCTATCCCCTTTGGATTTTTTTCTCTGGGGATACCTAAATAACAGTGTCTATGCCAAAGATCCCCCAATGATGCGCTCAAGAATACCCACTGTCCCGACTGCGGGTACCGCTCCTAGGGTGTCTGGGGCGGTGGGAGCATATGCGTTGGTGGCAGAATTTACTCTGGCGCCATTGGTGGTCATCTTTGAAAAACTGAATAAGAAATATTCTGGAAAGCGCTTGCCTCCCATTTGTTAGCAGAGCAATGTCCGTTCACAAAGAGAACTTAAAATTGTACATTACTTGCAGTGCCATGAAGCTGAGCAGCTGCCGTGGCCATCAAGATCGTCAGATATAAACCCTGTAGAGAGATTGTGGTTAAAATTACTCAGCGAGCCAATGGTCTACCGATCGTATGCCAAATCTAAACCAACTCGGGACAAGTTCTGACCGATGCCTGGAATGTTATTCCATAACAAACTCTATGATACCTGTCAGAGGGGATGCCCCTTCGCTTGAGAGCCTTGGTACCAGTAAGACTGGAAAGAGGCCCGTTTCGTCTGTTAATTTGGTTGCACTAAGCAAGAGTCCACGCAGAGTTAGTTCGAACTACCTAGCACGACAGTTCCAATAGGACCACGCCCTAAGATCGTTTCAGATATCAAAAGAGTTGTTTCCCAACTTCCACGTACAGGTAGCGACAAAAGGTTATTTCTGACGCTCTTATTGGCGACAATAATCATCGAACCAGTTGCACTTAGGGCACTCTGGAATGTTCAAAGCTGGGGTCGCGCACTCGTCTTTCGACGTCAATTTTACCGCCTATAAAATGAAGAAAGTAAAAAGCATATTTTATTTTAAAAACTTTAAAAATTGCTGCTTTACCCTGGCTTGGCGTTTTACATCTGAAATGTACCGGTTCGCACCGACACTTTCCGTGCGGCCACTAATATCGTGTTTTTCCAAATGCAAGTTTTGTTTAGATCAAGTGCTTGTTGGAAGTACAATTTTTCCCTCACACAAGTATTTTAACCTAGTCGTGGACATGAAATTAGGGAGGTGTGATTACTGCATAGTTGCCCTGCACAGGTAGAAATTTAGTTTTCGGGTTAAACTTTTATTTTCTGTCTACCAGCACGTATATTTTATTAGCATTTAGCTTATTAGAAGAATAATGTTTCACACAAAATAAATCCACATCGTTAAAATTAAACCAGAAAAGCAAATTTATGGATGGGGAAATCAGTAAAACCGATGTGTTTTTTATCCCTTGTTACCTGTAAAATAATGTAGTCATTGCCGCTTTTTTGGAAGTTTATTCTTTTTCAGTGATAAAAAATTACGGAGAAAAGCAGAACTTTGAATTTTACGTCTCTAAACTAAAAAAATATATTTTAGAGTTATTCTTGTAAGTCTTTATGATTGACATCAGTTTTTATAATGGACCGAGGGCGTTTGGCTGGAAAACTTTGCAATGCATGAAAGCGGTTAACAAGGGACTCTTTTTACGCACTACAAATAAGTAAACATTATGTATTATTTAAAAGATGGTTAACATCATCTTTAGACTTTTTAACATGAAATTGGGAGCAAAGTAGAAATATATTTGATGAAATTCACATGGGTCAATTATATGACCTGCAGCTGCGTTAATTTTTATATATATACTTATGAAAATTTATACGTGTTGAAGATAATATACCTATTTGAAGTTCACATTACATCTAACGTTCAGTTTTTTTCAGAAAAATATTTAAATCAGGGTTGATTGAAATCGTTCCTCAAAATAATATCAAAAAATACATTTTGCTTCAAAATATGACACAAAATTTACGTGGAACAGCGCGTTGAAATAGTGCAGTATTCGGTAAAACTTGGATAGTACAGTATTGCAGTGTAAAACATTGCCATTGGAAGATCTGACCTCACTTTTTCTTCCTAATGTTGGATAGTCAGAGGCTTTTCCCAAGAGTCTGTGTGGACGTCGATGCTGTTCGTCCGATAATTACCGAAACTTGTTTCTTCCTGTTCATATTTATTGTTCGAAATAGCTCGGTTATGCCAATTTGTCAGTTTACGAAAGGTTTACGAATATCCTTTAACATTGGAGGATAGGAGTCGTGAGCCGGTTGCCCTTGATTTTGTAAATTGTTATCATACCATATATATATATATATATATATATATATATATATATATATATATATATATATCTGTGCATTCCTTTATGGTTAACTGGTAGTAATGATGGCATAAAGTGGGTTGTATGTGAAAGGCCACTACTGTTTTAATGGGGCCGTAGCAATAATCCGAAAGTTCATTGGTCCGAAGGTTCAATGGTCCAAAGGTTCATTGAAGGTGCATTGGTCCGAAAGTTCATAAGTCCGAAGGTTCATTAGTCCGAAGGTTCGATAGCCCGATTGTACTGTATAAATAAAGTGTATGCTGTACTAGTAATAAAGTAAATAAAGTTCATGACAGACGCGTGAGTAGCCACATTAGACATAGATGAAAATTCAGGGAGTAGGCCATGGCCGTAGATAAATACCAGAAGCGTTGATAAATTACGTGCACTTTTCTGTCATGAATTAGCCAGATACACATCTATGAATATCTAGTGAAAAATCTGTAACCTTGGCAGGGGGTAGATGATATGTTTTTAAACGTGTTTCCTATTTTTATTCCTCCTAAAACCACAAAAAGGGGAAAACAAAGACCAACAACGTCACAATCACTGCAGGTTCAGCGCACAATGCCCGTAAGGAAGGGGCGAATCCAGGATTATTTGGAGGGGGGTCCGCAGATGCGGAGCCAGTACATATCAAAACCGTCAGGAGTGCTAACGCATGAATTTTCGTGCTAATGAACCTTCGGACCAATGAACCTTCAATTTTCGGAATAATGAGCCTTCGGACCAATGGACCCTTTAATTGAAAAACGGATGAAAATTCTACGAATTTTCGGACCAATGAATCGGACCAATGAACCGGACTATCGAGACGCCCCCATTTTAATAGTATTATTTAATAGAATTAAAATATTTAATCGAAGATTATTGTTTGTTTGTATTATAAATGGTACTTGCCCATTCTCGGCTCTGGCGTCAAGGGTTTGGGTGGTGGGAGGCGTTTTCGTACTTACCGACAAACTTCTCTTTCTCTTGACTGATGTCGTCTCGCTGGTCGTAGCTCAACTAGACACTGGTCAGTATTCGGTTCAGGAGTTCACGTTGGCGCTATCGCGAAAGATTAGTGGACCTAGATGACCTTGGGATAATAACTCTTTGTATGAGATCTATATTTCACAATAAAAACATTGTGAACAACTCGTAGAAATATAATATATTCTGTTTAACCACAAAAACGGCAGTTATAGCTATTATTCTGATATCTGAGCTTGTATTTAGACAACGTGTCCTCCATTGATGGCTATACTCTGTTATAATCTCTTAAGAGATTATAACAAAAAAAAAAAACTTTTTAGAAAAAAACCAGGGACCAACTTTGAATGTAAAAATGGATTCATTAACCATTGGTAAGTATGGTAAAATTGTTGTTTACTCCAGGAAAATTTATTTTTTTGGCCAAAAAGAAGGGTCACATGGGCTCAGCTGTTTAATAAGCTGTTCCCGCAACTGTATGACATGGCTCTTCTAGCACTTGTGCGTACGCGATTCAGATTTACTAGTAACTGCCTATGCGAGGCCACCTCAGATCCTCCTTTCCTCCCAACAAATTTATAATTTTGAAATAATAATCTTTTATTGCGCAAACATTGTGTAGAATTTGAGTTTCTGCTGGGAATCTAGTTGGATAGGACAGTGCATCCTAGGGACTACATGTACACACCTCGGTTCCTTGGGGGTGGGGGGTGGGGTGGGCATGCACTACTTTCACAATGGTGATTACAATCCCCACAACTATAATTGTATAACTACTGTATGAAACTTATCTGTTTTACTAATATACAGAAATACATCGTAAGACGAAAGGATATATTCGATTTAATGCCATTTATTGACAATATATTTCTTATTTTCATTGCCAAGTTTCATATTAAAAACAACCGATAAACATACACGAAAAAAAAACTGTGGAATGATTAAAACTGTCAGTGACAATTAGCTTCCAGATTTTTAGATTGTCTACAAAAGTTTACATATGAGTACCTAAAAAATCATCACTGACTTTTCTCCATAGTGAAAAGCAGATTTTTAGCAACTCACGATGCCATAAAAGATGAAAAACAATTTTTTAATTAATGACAATTTTACAAATAAGGGCAGAATTGTGGAACTCTGCAAGGAAAGTACATGTAGTAGAACATTTTGGTACTCTGTATGATGCTAAATAAATTATATTAGATCTACAAATATTTTATTGCTCATTTTCATCAAGTATCAGGAGGTAGTACTAAATTACTTGTGCACTGTGTCATGTGGAACAAGCCCCATGCTTATTTTCATAAAACCACAACAAAGCAAACATGAGACCAACTGGCTTTGTGACATTTTCATCATCTAAAATGAGGCGTCTGCTTTCCTTGACTGGTACTTCCACGACATCGATTAATTCCCCTTCGTGGTGATTGCCTCCACCCTCTGTCACACGCATTTCATTAGTCACCTCTGCATAGAAAATTGTCTGTAATGCTCCACTGGTCCCTACCCCTGACCTGCAAGGAACAGAGGAAGGAATATCAGGATGTTGTTTACAAAAACTTGATAAACATTCCTGTGATTGTGGTACTTGTTTCAAGCAATTGTCATGATGGAGAATATGTCATACAGTTGTCAAGATGCAGAGCTTGAGTCATAATATGTGGACATGATGAAGAGTTTGCATCAAACAGTTGTCATGATGAAGAATTTGTGTCACACGTTTTATTATCAAGAAACCACATCACTGCAAACATCAGAGTTGCTGGTTTTGAAATGCTCTCATTCATTATCCAATGTTTTATGTCTTTCAGTAGTACTTCTATTAATTCAATCATTTCTCCTTCCTCTAAGTTGCCACCTCCTTCAGTTATCCGAACCTCTTCACAGACTTCAGCATAGTATAGAGTCAATTGCGCTCCTATGGTGCCTTCACCTGATCTGACACAACATTACAAATGTCCTAGATATATATTTTTGCAATATCTATCAAAGGCAATGTCTCATGAAATGTGGACACAATTAATATCAGTAGTATGAACTGAGTAAATCACAAGTTTCTCTAAAAACCCGTTATACTTATTTTAATATTCTTATGAAAATTTTTTAAATGACTGAAAAGCATAATAACATGAAAATATATATTCTTGTGAGTGCTCTCACCTATATGAGGTTATTCTTTGCAGTTTCTCTAATGGAACCTGGAACCCACATTCCTCCAATATTTCCTCTTGTGCAATGACATCCAGGTTTTTATCCTTGTCAACTATTCCAGCACATAGTTCATATGTAATACCCAGCTCCCCAGGATATTTGCCTGTGTCTATTTTCCAATGGTCCTCATGTTTCTGTAGCTCTGATTTTTGAATGTAGATTGCTTACATGAAAATAAAAAATCTTAAATCAAAAATAAATTGAAAACCATAAAACTATAACCACACTAGAAATTAAAGACATTTTTTATGCTTTAAGTCAGTAGAACTGAAAATGCAGACTTCTGTGCAAGTGCCTTACTTCACAACATTCCTTAAGACAGGGTTCGGGGTAAAATACATACATGTAAATATATATCATGGACAAAATTATGTTATATGTCCAAGAATATATGAACCCATTGTTGCCATTTTGGAAAGCAAATCAGGCATTGTTTTGGATAAAGTATAGACCACCGACTCCTCCCCTCCCCCTCTTTCATGGGGGTCTCCCCACCAAGTGCACCAACGTATGGTTATATAAACTTGACCAAACAAAAAAAAATACCAACCTGGCCTGAACTGCTTCACAAACACAAATGATTCTGTTGATTTATTGAAAAGCAAAATGCAGACACTGAAAAGAAGCAGAGACAATTTTCGGGTCATATGAGATTCACTGCCAAGCAAGAATATATCATAATATTGCTTAACGGCAATTTCTTTTAACTATAATCAAAAACAACAGGGCTTTATCCATGTAACAAGGAAATAAATAATTCCATTTACCTGTCATGTGACTTCACTGCATCCCAAGTTTTAGAAACACCATTCTGAAGTTAATGAATATATGTGGGAGTCTCAAGTTTACAATAAAATATAAGTAAGAATAAGAGCAATGATGTTTTACAAATTTTCAATAAAAAATGAAATACCTGTTGTTATGAAAGATATCAGTATTTAAATTATATCTTTACGTATACTCTTCGTTTTTGAGTCTAAATATCTTAAGACTTGTTCACAGAATAATTGTACCATACATGTGTACTATAGCAGTGAAGAGTTAATTGCATTTTCAAAAGAAAAGTCCTACTCCTGGTACAGTATATAAGTATTTTTGGGGAAAGATGGTTCAATAATTAATCAATTTCTAAAGCAGTATCAACCTGTTTGTAAAAGACTCTGAGCGGTTTGATATATGCTGAATCGCTGCATGGAGACACAGTGACATCAGTTACATTATCCATACTACTGGGTCGAAATATAATTTAACTGAAATTGTGTAACATAAAAATAACTGTTGGCCCACTCAACAAACCGGAAGTATACATACAACATGCAGAGATATAATCGAACAATCTATAGTTTCGAATTCAATTTAATAATCCGTTGGAAATATTTATTTATTATTATTATATATCAAATATATTTCAATCTATCAAACAAAATTGATCAGTTATTCATTTGTGATTTATTTACACTCTAATGCTACTCAAGGCTGCGAAACTAAACAATAAATGACTGGGTATCTTGAACTATGTCCCTTACGGTGTCTGGCGCAAAAAGTATTGCTGAATTTAATCCAAGTCAGGTAATTCAGGTAGGTGCATATTTATAAAGCGTAGAGTGTAGTAATTTTTTTACATATGTCCTTTCTTAAGAATGAGAATCAATCCCTACAGACACTTCAGAAGTTGTCAAAGTTGGATACCCAGTGTTGACTGGTCACATACGTTGTTTTGCCATTACAGGGTAGTATCCGTGACTTGGCATAATCTTTTGCGAATTTATTGATACTTTTATCGTAAATCATGCTTTCCTTTCCCGGCTAAGAAATTATTTTTTGATATAGAAAATTTGTAATGACAGACACGATGTGACTTTCTATGAAAAGGGTGTGTCATATAATATTTTTATTACCACAGTAGGAAGATCTAGGAAGGTCAGTGCAAAAATTAGAATTGTGTATAGAATTCAATTTTTGATTTGTTTGAAAGGCCTTGTTATAATTATCAAAACAGAAATGAATTCATCCATACTTTCCCTTCAACTTGATTGTGCTTATGCTGCCAGTGTTACAATACCAGGAGGTGGGATCTTGTTTCATTTTATAAAAAAGAAATATATCTGGTTATTCATGCTCTGAATTATGGACAGCTAAATATGACCAAACAAAATTGAAAGACAACCATAATTTGAAATCAGCATGTGTCTGAGACATGTTAATCAATTTCATTTCAGAGCTTCCAAGAAGCCTATGAGGAAGGATGCATCACAGATAAGTTACGACAGCACTTTTGCCAGTTTGTTCCACTGGTGTATGGACTTCTGGGAGAGTATGACCCTAACAGAGAGGAGCGAAAAGCCAAGAAGCTTCTGTTTAATCCAATAGAGGCATTTCTATGTGGAGGCCCACCTGATGCTGTGTTTAAGGAGTTGAAGGAGAAAGATCACCCACCCATTCTGTGTGGCCGCGTGTTCCGCAGTGGAGAACCAACATACTCATGCAGGTCATTCAATTTTGAGAACGGAATCTGCCATCTGCTCTACATTTTCAAACATTTTACTCTCTTGGCAGGCAGTATATAGGCTGTGGATGATGTTTTTAGAAAGTTTTGGGTAGTATCAATGCTTCAGTTAATTGACTGTCACAGATGAGTGATAGATATGTAATGTATATGTTAAAACCATACTTAGGGTCATGACCTGATCTTGTGTGCACACACCTTTTACATTTACTGGAACAGATAAGTAAATGCCAACTATTGGTACAGACTTTGCTTATAGTTTCTCTAAAAGATTTGGTTTTATTGACATCTGAATAATATGTTTTTCCAGAGATTGTGCAGTTGATCCAACATGTGTTCTCTGCATAGATTGCTTCAACAATGGCGCACATAGAAAGCATAAATACAGGGTGGGTATGTTTATCTAAATATATGAGATATTACTTAAGGATGTTACTTAAAATGTTTTTTATTAAATGTAATTTATAATACTAGATACTTCATGGCTTTGCAAATTAAAGCATTGACCCAATAATGGCTGTATATAAAATCTCTGGCACTCTCTGACAATGTTCCCATTACACTTCAGATGAGCACGTCCAGTGGTGGTGGCTATTGTGACTGTGGCGACAAGGAGGCCTGGAAGACTGACCCACTGTGTGAAATACACAGAAAAGGGGAAGAAAAAGGGAGTAATCAGGTGAGAGAGGCTGGTAAATCTACAGGGACCAGGTTAACAAATGCAATTAACATGGAAAATTTGTCTTTACTTTTGGAGGAAGATTTGGG